ATGGAAAAAGTTGAGGACTTAGCATACGGAAAGTTCCCAAGGAGATTGTAAGTCTCCTATATACACTAGACCACAACTGTGCCCCAAATTAATTTGACACAGTAATTTCTGTAGATTATAAGTAAAATAAAAAACTGGATAACTGAATTTACTATTGGATTTAATAAACTTTAGAATTTGAATTACAACAACGAAATACAAAAAGGGAATATTGATAAAGACAAGATGTTGTGCGTTCGACAAGGGTCGCTACCCGAATGCTATTAGTAATGGCAACAACATTTGTTCCTCGTAACCAGCACATGCATACACATAAACAAGACATCTGAAATGTACGTAAACCTAGGAATTTCCCGTGGTCGAAACTACCGCCCGACCGGATGGAACCGGACAAAAGACTCATAAACCCTAGCCCGATCGGTCAATTTTATGACCTGCCTACGTGCAAAATGCGATGTTATAATTATCAGAAAGCTGGTTACAAGAATCGAATGAATGCTGTCTTATTCCTATACTAATACCGACTATTATTTGTCGGTTTATTTGAAATAACGTAAAATATATGAAAAAATATATAAATGAAATCATTGCGACAAACCAAATTTAATGAAACCTTTAACGAGTTTACACGAAAAATTGACACACTTAATACCGAAACATTAATAACAAAATTTATCCTAATTTCGCAAACTTTACTAAATCAGGTACAAGCCGTAGAACGTTCTTTAACATTTGCCAGAGAAAAGATTGTAAATTACGAATTAGTTTTTAATAACCAAATACGACAAATGATGAAACACCTTTTAAAAATTTATTCAAAAACGCAATTACTGCCACATTCTGTAGAAGAAAATCCTATTGTCTATTTAACTTTCAATAAACAAAGCATGATCTTGACAAATGACTTGATTACCGGAATTATTCAGTTTCCAATATCGATGTCAATTACATTTAAATTATATCAGCTATATCCTATACTGAGTCAAGACAACTCTCTTCTCCTTATGCTATCTAAACTTAATACCCGTTTTGAAACCATCTCCAAATGGCTCGAACATTGTACATTAATTGAAGCTAGTAATTATTTTTGTAAAGATAAAATTAACACCAAAATTATAAACGCTTTTGAGCTCCTAGTTTCCAAATAAAACAAACAAATAAAAGAATTTGCATGTGGTGTTCCAGCGGTTACGTGAGGCCAATTTGAAACTCAGTCCGAAAAAGTGCCAGGAAGTTTCTTACTTGGGACATGTTGTATCAGCGAAGGGCGTGGCCGTGGATCCAGAAAAGATAAAGGCGGTGAAGGAATGGCCAGTGCCTGAAAATGTGCACGACATAAGAAGCTTCTTGGGATTGTGCACTTATGTTTATGGATTCGCCAATATCGCCAAACCTTTGACACGTTTAACTGAAAGTGGGCGCAAATTTCATTGGGATTCGGATTGTCAAACGGCATTTGACACACTGAAGCAGGCTTTAATCACAGCCCCCGTACTGGGACATCCTCGGCCCAATGGAATGTTCATTTTGGACACCGACGCCAGCAATGTGGGAATGGTAGCCGTTCTTTCGCAGTTACAGGATGGCCAAGAGAAGGTAATCGGCTATTTTAGCAAGACCTTATCAAAAGCCGAAAGAAACTACTGCGTCACTAGGCGAGAGATGCTGGCTGTAGTCAAAGGTGTAGAACATTTTTATAAATACCTGTATGGACGAAAATTCACCCGCACCGATCATGCAGCTTTAAAGTGGCTTCTAAATTTCAAGAATCCAGAGGGCCAGGTAGCTAGATGGATTGAGAAACTGCAGGAATATGATTTTGACGTAGAGCACCGCCCTAGAACCGGACACAAGAATGCCGATGCACTTTCCAGAAGATCTTGTCAAGCAGACTGCAAGCAGTGTGATCGAATGGAAAAGAACGAAGAGGCAATTCTACGCGTCACGGTAATCGATGACGAATGGTTACCTGACAATATAAAACACGACCAAGAAAACGACCCGGACTTGAAGAAGATAATGGAATGGAAAAAAGACAGAAAAAAGCCAACGTGGCAGCAAGTTTCTTGTACCCTAGTACTAAAATCGTTATGGGCTCAGTGGGACTCAATGGTTTTGGAGAATGGCATCCTGAAGCGTGTTGTTGAAAGTCCAAATGGAGAAGAAGATAGGAAGCAACTGGTTATTCCTCGAAACAAGGTCAGAGAGGTGTTGCAGTATCTTCATGATGGATCATCTGGTGGCCATTTTGGAGTGAATAAGACGCTTGGGAAAGTTCGAGAGCGATTTCATTGGGTGAACTGTAAGGAAGATGTCAAGAATTGATGTAAGAAGTGTACCACCTGTGCCGCGAGTAATGGGCCACAGAAAAGGCCAAGGGCGCCAACGCGTCAAAACAATGTCGGTGGCCCCTTCGAACGAATCGCAATGCATGTGGCGGGTCCATTGCCAGAGTCCGAGAAAGGTAAAAAGTACATCGTGGTCGTTATGGACTATTTTACCAAGTCGATTGAAGCCTATGCCCTTCCGAACCAAGAGTCGGAAACCATAATTGAGGAACTGGTGAAAGAGTTGATCAGTCGTTTTGGGGTGCCCTTGGAGTTGCACTTAGACCAAGGGAGGAATTTCGAATCGGCTATATTCCGTGGAATATGCGAGCTCCTAGGAATAAAGAAAACTCGAACCACTCCGCTCCATCCACTATCGGACGGCATAGTTGAACGAATGAACCGGACCTTGATTAAATATCTCTTCAAGGTAGTGTCTGATCGCCAAAGGGACTGGGACCGCTATTTGTCTTTATTCTTAATGGCATACAGCTCATCTGTCCACGAAACGACTGGCCAAACACCTGCCAGTGTCCCTTTAGGAACGGAGTTACGGCTACCTTGTGGTCTCAAATTCGGCTGTAAACCAGGAGATGACTTGGCTGGAGAAAATTATGTTACCAACCTCTGAGGAAAGCTTAACGATATCCACGAGTCGGTTTGTCTGCATGCGCAGATTGCTAGTGACTGGATTAAAGAAAACTACGGTATTAAGGCTAGAGCAGGTGGTTACCAAACTGGAGATCTTGTTTGGCTGTATAATCCTCGTCGTCACCGTGGACTATCACCTAAGTTCGAACAGAACTAGGAAGGACCCTATGAGATAGTGAAGAGGATTAACGACGTGATCTACTGAATTAAGAAAACTCCAAATGGGAAGCCGAAGGTAGTCCATTTTAATCGCTTGGCTCCATTCGCCGGTGCAAATGAAGAGGAGGCGCGGGCCAGATTATTAAGAACTATTCCTTCCGAGCCCAGATTCGATGAGTTTACGAAGGAAGGCTCTCATGTAAACAGGAAATTTGGAATGACGCAAAAAATCCGACGAGACCTCTTTGCTATATCCAAGGAATATTCTCTAGCCCATTGCGTTTGAAAGGATCTCAGAATGAGCCGTGGTATCGCGTCCGAGTTCAAACGTAGTTTGGCGGTTTGGAACATCTTGAAGACCAAGTACAGAAGGGAAAAAAACTGTTGTGCTTGCCTGACGGACGACGCAATATTTATTACCTGGTAACTAAAGGAAGATGCTCTGATAACCCCATTTATAGAGACCTTTGGGACGCAGTAATGGAACTCCGCAGACATCTTCTGGAGAACTGAACATGATCGAAGTCCTGTTCCGCCGTACTGGAATAGACATTTTAGTTTGCAGTAATAACCCGAATCGGACCAACCATGAGAAGACTGTTACTTCTA